TATAGAGTTGAGGAAAAAACCCTGGTTTTATACACCTATGCATGTCAGAAAAAAAGTTTTACAGATAGTTGTGAACGATTTTGTTTAGCATAAAATATTCCAGTCAGATGAGATACAACCGAATCGGAACTCAGTTGCCGTCCGTGACAAAACACGTTAAGTTAAATCTTCTCCAAGTACCCGGTGTCAAAGTGCTGCACACAGGAAATATGGGAAGGAAGTGTATTATATTGGGAAAGAAACCTTTCAAAAAAGTAAACTATTATGGAACAAACACAACTTAATCTCCTTATCAGGTATCACACTTTTTTTAAATCTTTTCGAGTAGTGATTGGTGGGCACAAGGTACTTTCTAAAGAAACTAAAGGGAAGGGTAGGAGAACGCTGATTCCAGTGACTCGTTCGGCAAAAAAGGAATAATCTTGGAAATGGGGATTAGTGTACAATGCTTTATTGTTGATAGATGCACAATAAAGGTGTGATCAGTCCCAACCCCTTGTGGTATTATTCAGAGCCCCAACCACTTAATTATACGTCAACCTCGTGTGTAACCCTTGAATCTCGTGACACGTCCCTGTTCCCTCCATTATGCTATTCAGAGAAGTTACAGGATGTACTTACATCGTACTCTGTTCTGTTTGACCTTGCCCCTGAGTTTGTCTTGCGTTAGTCACGTGTGTGTGTGTGAGTGAATCGGTGCCTATCTATCTCTTTCAGGGAGATCCCGGGTTACATTCAAGGGCGATCTGTGTAAACTGCTGCCGGATGTGCCTTCGCGTCAAATTGTGGTTATCAGTTTATTTTTCTTTACCCGACTACCATTCACAACACTTTACTGTTCGCCGCTCTGTCTGTCTATTGCAGCCTGGAGATCGGCTTGCCTCACGACTTGCGCGATGACTTGAATGATACAGCCACCAAGGTTTTCAAAATACAAATCACACCTCATTCACAACTATTTCTCTCTCACAATTCGCGGAGAAGTCGCATGAGCTAAACGGCCAACCGTGGACAAACTTCAATCCGGTTTTGTGGAATAATAGAGAAGCCAACGGAAGTCAGGTTATTTTACAAAGGCAGAACTATACTGGGGAAGTGGATAAACCCCGAGTGCTAGATTCAAGCAACCTATTGAAATATAATCACAGCACAGGAAAGTAAGGTTCGATGATATAAGAGAGGCAAAACAGAGGGACTTTGCAGCAGCACATTAATGTGAACCTGAGTTAGACTGCTCTTTTTTTTGCTCTTTTTTGTTTTTCCTTCCGTTTACTGAGTCTACAAAGATACAGATTTAAGAAAGAACGGATCGGCCAATCAATGGGCCATGCCGCGAAACAGATGCTGATAGTGGGATTTGAATTCGCGTCCTCCGGGGTGATAATTCGGTAACATTAACATCGGGCCATCACCTCCATCCTGAAATGTTCCGATCATCCAGCGTATACAGCCAGGAGTTGGGAATCCGTAGAACAATCTCATAGCTTAGTTGTCGTTTTCTGTGGATGAGGTCAGTAAAAGTTCGGTACAGCCTGTACCTTTTGCACAGTCATGGACAGAGAAGGTAGCAGAGAGTGGGAGAGCAAATCCTTCATAGATGTAGCCTTAGAGCAGAAGCATTAATCACTCACTATCTGTGCATGATACATTGTGCGGAACAGGATTTTGCAAGAGAGCAGTATTAGCACACATGGTTCATTTTACCGTTACACATAATCTCGTTAAAACCCTGTATGTTTTAGTTGTTCAGGTGTGTGAGAGCATGTGTAGGAGCACGTTGTCCGTGGATCTGCAAGCCGAAACAAATGCAACTGCACAAAGCGTGCGTCGGTAGTTTGCCTGAATGTGAGTATACGAAACAGACTGATCAATTCACACAACTTGTCTCATTTAGTCCACTGGTAGAATAGAGATATCGATAGAGAAGATAAAACTGTAACGGATTCGGGTTTGTTCCAAACGTGGAATCCCTAAAACACTAGCACCATATAAATGCGATAGGTTTCATATTGTACCGAGAGCAGTGAGGAGTTCAAACGTCTCGAAATGACCTCATTCATCCAGGTGGCAGTCTATACCATTTAATTCTCTGCAAACACCCGCAGTTGTCGAGATCACGAATAGAGACCGCTGCTGGTGACGGATGCACAGCAGTTCTCTGAGGAACATTCTCCCCAGGGATTTTTCAGAGTGTATAAAGAATCACGTTGAGAAGTATGAGGCTCTGCTGTTCATCAATTTTACTCCTTTTCAGTATCAAAAGACAAGCAATATAGCGAACGTGTTTGTTTTAGTAACTTCGTCTTCAGACATTTACAGTTATGTAGGTGTGCTGATATCTAATGTAGAAATAAATGTGATTGACACCTTGAGGTTAAGTTAGAAAATACAACAATTTCTATCAAATTTAATCAGAGCGAGTGCAGAAAATGGGGGTAGTGGCTGGAGAGGGACAAAGATCAATTCCGTAAACTTCCGATGAACTTTTTCACGTGCAATTTGTCAAACCATGTTGCGTCATCACCACATGACTGAAGGCGTGGTTCGGATCGTCACGTAAGTTTGAGCAGGGCCAAGGCAATTGGAGTGCGGCTACCATTTTCTTCTGTTTGCACAGTGGTGGGTTCATGATTTTGATTGCTACAGTTTCTGCCGTTGCCAAGTGACGTTACCATAATCGCACTAATTATTGTTTTCTTGCAACCAGTGCTAAGCTATGCCGGTTTATGTTCTCTGATCCTTTGCGAGAACTGTCTCATTGTTGGTCATACATATCTTGTCGAACACCTGCAAATGAAGCAATATGTAGTCATAGGTGGGGAGACGATGGACAACTTGTCCTTGAGGTTTGTGCAGCGCTGTGGCCGGCTTGTAAATATCGCACGTAGAGCGGCGGATGGATATGCTCGTGCAATTGCTTTTTCCAGACGTCTTCTTGTTAGATCGCCACTCGTATCGCCTTTAAACGGGAGCTGCAAGAATAGTTGTTTANGTTGTTTAGCTTTGGTGGTGATTGGTTTTTGGTAGTGTCGGCTTCTCTATGAAGTGCTTCTCAATAGAACGCCCCGAATATCCATTATTCAGAAGTGTAGATTTGGTGAATCTAAGGTCTTCACTAGATCCTTGATGTAAATCATCCGAGTTCTGACGGCCAGACAGTGGGCTAAGTTTCGTTTCAATTTGATTGGAACGAAACTTTAAAAATGGATGTATTGACCGTTCCATGTTGGTTTGCGAAGAAATTGAACGGCATAACTTTCCATTGAGCCCCTTCTTCCGGTATCAGATAGGGTGAGGTTTGGGAGGTCGAAAGAGAGTGCTTTTTAAATGAACTTCTGAATGTGCATCGATGCGACAGAACTGTGAAACGGTCGGCGTCAGAAAGTTTTGTTCTGATTGTTATGGATTCTATCCCTGATAAACAGTCCCAGCATGTGACCATAAATTGTATAATAATGTATAGCTTGACAACTGTGGATTAAATTAATAAGTACCAGAATATCAAGTGAAGGAAAATTCTGGGCACAACACAAGCATTTGTAATTTGTGTGTTTCAGACTGGTGAGTGAGGAGAAACTAAGCAGACGTTTAACCAATTTAGTGAAGGAGCGTGGAGACAAGACAACAAATGTGGACGTAACGGTTCTGGTCAACAGTGCTTAGACTTGACTCTATCCCTTTGGGATCATGTGTAGCTCCAATACTCTAAAATAACTAAGGCGTAGTTCAGTGGATGTTAGCATCACACTATTTCACTTTACTTCTACGAACTCTTTGGAAAGACTGAAGACCATGAATATGGATGAGCAATAGCAATAGCAATAGTATCGTCAGTCTCATTTCCGTTTTTCGACCCGTCTTCATGTGTCACGCACACAATCCCACCAATAGATTTAGGCTTCAGCTATCTTCAACGTGAGGTGCATTTTGCTAGGTTTCACCTTGAAATTCTACCTCAGTTTCTTGGAGCCAAGTGACATCTGAGTGTATGACAGTAGGTGAAGAATTCAAATGTGTGAGGTGATCAAAAACCTATGAGATAGAGCGAACCAAAGGGCTACGCCCCGTGTCATCATCAAGAAACCCTCAGGCCAATACTTTCGTTCACACAGGGACCAAGCGATTCAGACAGATGCACTGTGAGGAAGAGAATGCATAACGTTGATTGGGGTAAAATCTTATTACTGGGTAACGTTTCTTTGTACGTATTATTTCTCACTTCAGTGGACATTTTTTTGGCCCCTCTTTGGTGGTAGACTCCAACAGACAATAGACACTTGTGCAATTCGTGATTTATGATTCTTGTCCATTCCAATTGACAAAATTTTGCGTCACTCAATGGAACTTCCAACTACCGAGCAATTATACCTATGTACTAGTCTGCCTGGGGTCAAGAAATTAGCCGATAGATCTGATCTGTGGTGCAGTATTCACAAGATTGCCACGTAAATTTAATGCGGATAGTCAAAATTTGTATGGCCTATTGAAGAACCTTGAGTTTCCTAAAGCTGTTGCAAAAGTTCCGTATGATTCCCTGAAGCAGCTGCTTCTTGATCAGCTGCCACCCGGACTTCAGGCAGATGTCGCGCTGCAACTATAGCGATCGTCTTGGGAACAACTGTGTGATCGTCTAGTGGCTGGAATCAAGAATTGTGGATTGAAATCGAAATTGATGGAGAAGAGGTCTGACGTTCACATAATCCCGCAAGACCTGCGAACAGCAAGATGATCAGATACAAGCGACTTCCTGTGGATAGATCACTCTCTTCTAATGACGTGGTCAGGAACCAGTGCATGGCACACTGCCCAAACATGCATCATCCAAACCACAAAGCAATAATTCTGGCACTGCGAAACCCATCAATCCATGCATACCTGTTGTGTAGAGCTTATTATCTGCACACCACGTGTCGTTTTCAAGACGCCTAATGTGCAAATATTCCTGCTGTAAGCTGGCCAATCCATTGGTGCAGCAAGATAAAACCAGTCCCGTATCTACCTTAGGAATCCTGAGTGAGCATAACCACTTCATTACCAAAGATGTCGACATAGGAAGCAATGAATCTATCATCTCCATCGGTGAACCACGACTTCTTTGTGGAAATTCTTGGCATCACGGGAAACAAACTGCTTTCGTTGGATGTGGGTGGTAAGGGGGGAGTAGATAATGATGAAATCTTCGGGAAATTGCTTTTTTTTCAAATCGTTTCCTGGTCACCGAAAACAGTCCATTCATAATGGGGCGAGCTGAGTTGAACCAGTTCGTGTTACCACATACCGGTAATCCGTGCATGTTCAACAATAGCTGATTGCCAAGTGATCCAAAATTATTGCAGGTATACATGTTCAACTTGCTCAGTTGGGAGTCGACGGTAAGCTGTTCATGAAACGGTGCGTTATTTAGCATGATCAGCGTGCGGGTGTGATAAAGGTGATTGCTGATTCGTGGTTATTCCGATGACTATATAGGAGTGAATTTTCGGTGATCGATCTAGTGAATATTGTGTGTACTGTGTGTAGAATTACCTCCACCCTAATCTATTTTATCAGTCACCAAGTCACTAAACAACTCAGCCAAATCTGTCCATTGGGTTTTTCTTGACTATTATTCGTCCACGTTTGGTTTTGTATCTCAAGCATCCCTGCTTTTCAAACTTCTTCTGGTACACCGTAACAGTTACACTCATGACTTGATGACTATTTGACATAGAGGGTCCAGTGTACCAAATAGGGAAGGAGTACATTAAAATCTCTCGTTAAAAATGCTGGTGCGCTTTAAGTTGCTGTTCTATATCCATATCTGTCTTCTGTTTTTATTAGTGATCTTTCTGTTTCACCAAAGCACATATTCAAATGCCGATTAACGATGTCATTTTATGTCAGAAAATTTCATCTCCTTCAAAATTCGATTCAATCACTGAAAATCTATCTCACATTCCACAATTTTCCAACCAATCTGGGTTCAGTTTTGATACATCCGAGTGCATGGGGCATATCTTCAGTCTGTTCCGCTACGCATTTCCAACAGCCTCAGCTACTCCTGAAAGTCTTCATTCAAGTACCTAAGTGTCAACATCGACAATAATCTCTGATAGTCCCGCTCACATTTACAATTGTGTGGGGAAAATGTGAGAACAGGAAAGAAACAATTAACAGATTTCAACTACTTCTCCACGACACAGATACCCAAACAAGGCTGTCTGTCACTCAACCCAAATGTAGAATTTCATCTCTCCGAATGTCTTACGTGTACCAAATTCTGAATGCAAGTACTACCTTTCCACCATGGGGATGAGTAAACACTTCTGTCCTCTTCAATTCCCTATTGACCGGCGGAAGCAATTGAACATTCACTGCCATTTTAGTTTACCCCACCCCCAACACACACACACACATACCTTGCATCGGTATCCGAATGACTGAGCAGACCGCGGCACGCCGTCCATCGAACCAGATCGCTTTGATCCTGTTACTCGGATGCATAAAAACATTACCATCCCATTCATTCCGTGCACTCATTTTTGGCTAACAGATAACTGTCTCCTTGGGGAAAACTGTGCTCACATTTCACAGTCTGTGCCTCTGTGCCCTCATGAAACCACTAGGACTGAGGTGAATAGCC